GCGGAAGAGCTAGACAGAGCTGGGCCTCGGGGCCCGGGCAGCCCATTGGCCATCCTGCCAGAGTCTGCGGGTTGGCCACACTTGCCACCCAGGACGCTGAGGGACGAAGAGGAGGAGCTGGAGGAACAGTAGGCTGAGTCAGAAGCTGGAGGGTCTGGGGCCCGAACCAGGTCAGGGGCTGATCCCGTCGGGGTCCCGCCAGCAGCAGCCTCAAGCGCTCGGGCATTGGCCAGGAACTCCTCTTCCAGGCGCTGGAATAGTTGCTGCTCCTCCTTTGGGTCAAGCTGCAGGGGTGTGCGGAAGACACTGGCCGGGGTGGTGCTCAACTCTGGACTGGGGCTGGGGACCCGGGGAGGCCGGGGGGCCGCGGGGCTGTGGGCACGGGGAGTCTGGGGGCTGCTCCTGCCCCGTGGCATCCACGAGTGCTGCCCATCTCGGTCCCGACGCACCAGCAGCATAGCCGGCTCTTCACGGCTCTGGCTCCGGGCCCGCCGGGCAGGGCTGGGGCCCAACAGCTGGCCTCCCCTGCCTCCTGGGGCCCCACGCGGCCGCCCCCGATCCAGCCGGTCTCGGGACTGGCTGCGCGGGGCGGGGGGGCGTCTCGGGGAGGCCGGAGTGCCTGTGGTCACCCGACGGCTGGGCCGTTCCCGACGGGGGCCAGTGCCTGAGTCTTCACTGCGGGCACCAAGGGGGCCGCTCTGGGCTGAGGAGGCTGAGGAATCGCTGTCCCCGGAGTAGCGGCGGGAGCGGGGATGGGGGTGCAGCTGGTCCCGGGCCCTGGGGCAGGGGAGCAAGAGAGAGAGCTGGGGCAACGCGGAGGGGACTGGCGTGCAGAAAGGGCAGGAAGAGTAAGGAACCAGCAGCCGCGTGGTTGGGGGCGTGGGAGAGGCACCTGTGGTGTGGTGACGGGAGTACCAAGGGTGTCTCTTGCCCTGGGGACTTCCAGAGAGAAGTGAGAGGCTCTGCCACAGCTTCCTGCAGCCACGGCCACCCCCGCCGCCCCAAGGCAGCAGAAGTAAGGCCCTAAGCTCCCCCTCCCCGGGCCTCCAGTTTCCTGGGCAGGCCATCGGGAAGCAGGGTTAGACTGGCCGCCACCCAGCCCCCAAGGCCCGCCCAGCTGTGTTGTTCGTTTGGTTGGGTTGCCATGGAGACGGGAAGCCGGGCCTGCCGCCACCTCCCCACCCCCGGGAACTTTTCCCAGGGTATGAGTCACGGAGCACAGTCATCCAGGCCAGGGCAGGCGCCCCCACCCCCATCCCCTGGACCCCTCACCCCGAGTCCTCCTCCTTCTCACCTGAGTGGGGTCTCGGGCCCCTCCTTCGAGCTGAGTAAGCTAATGGGTGTCACCTCCGGGCGGGAGCCCCTGCGCTCACCCCCGGAGGCTGGGCTACCAGCTCGGGGGCTTCGGGTGGGCGACACCCGCTGTGGGGAGAAGGTGCGGGCCCTCATCTGGGGTGGGCGGTGGGCTGCAAGGAGAGAGGACGGGTGGTGCATGAGAGGTGGGGCCACAGAGGTGCCCCCCCCGCCCCCGCTGTGGGCACTGACCCGTGGAGGAGCAGCGGCAGGGGTCGTGCTTGTCCAGGTAGTGCTCCAGCGTGTCCCAGCCGCCGCCCACGCGCACCATCACGTGGCTTCTCAGCACCTGTGGCAGCCCAGCGTGGGCAGGTTACAGCCTGTCCCCCCCACCTCCCAGGCTGTCACCTGCTCAGGTAGCTCCTGGCTCTCACCCGCACAAAGATGAGCAGACTGGAGTCTCCCACGCGGTACTTCCCCTCCGAGACTTTGATCATGGGAAACTGGTCTGGGCAGGTGCAGCGCCCCAAGATCTCTCTCACCTGAAGCCAGAGAGGCTGGAGGTCAGGGGTCAGGTCACTCCTCCCCTGGCCCAGTGTCAGCAACTCCAGGGTCAGAAGGAAGTAAGTCCTTCTGGAAGCTCTCCTTCCCCTTTGGCTACCAGGGGTCAGGGAGCTGACTAGGAAAAGATGGAGGGACTGTGGTTGGGCCAGGGCCTAGGACCCCAACAAGGCACATCCTTGAAGTCCCTGAGCCCTGGGGGAGTCCTCACTCCGCCTCGCCCACTTCACAGACATGAATGTTGAGACCCACAGAGAGGCCAGGTTTGGGGTGGAGGCAGGACCCACACCCCATGGAGGCAGGAGTGCCACAGACATATGGGGCACACGCATACACCAACGTGCACACCAGGCCACCCGCCCAGCTAGCACACATCTGCCCACATGCTCCCCCACGCTGGGAGCTGCCAGGCTGGCTGTGTGGGCGGCCCGCCTGCCTCCTTGCCTACAGCGGAGCTGCTGAGAAAATGAGCAGGTGGAGCCTCTGGTGACCCTGGCGCAGGATGGGGTGGGGTGGCAGCCTCTGCCCACAGCCATCCGGCTACCCGCCTCCAGGAAGGGGACATCATGTTCTAACCTCCTGATAAGAAGGAAACTCTTGGCCTGGCTGTGGAGATGTTAGGTACACCTAGGTCCCGGGAAGAGGAGGAGGGAGCTGGGGTCATGGTCTGGCACCTCCTATGCTCAGGGTAGAACTAATCCTGCAGCTCCTGAAAGGACTTTAGCCCCCGTAGCAGCAGCTACTCCAGGCTTGGGTTCCCAGATAAGTGATGTGTGCAGGGCCCTGGGGAGAAGGAGAGACCTGCAGAGCCCCTGGGAGCTTCCCTAGGCACTCACTGAGCACCTACTGTGTGCCAAGCGCCTTGCCCAGGACCAAACAACACAGGCACCCATTCAACCTCCTCAGTGATGTTGTGAATGCAAATGTCTAGCAGCTGAGCGCAGGGAGGGCATACAGGAGGGGCTCAAATCACACGGCCCCCAGGATTAAGGAACACGTAGCACTTATCTGGTGCATGGTTACCACAGAAAGGAAGCAGGGAGATCGTGCAGTGGAACCCGAGTTTTCTCCCAGGCCGTGCTGGGCCCTGTGACCTCACCCAGCACCTCTCCTTCTCTGGGCCTGCTCAGCTCTTTGGGGCCAGGTATCCAC